TTTGTCCCACCCGCCCGCCCAAAGGAAGCCGGGTTTGAATTACCCTCAATGCACTTCTCGCTTTGGCCTAGGCGTGTCCCAGGCCAGAGCTATCCCCATTCCTTATTACCATCTCATGGATAACAATGCCCGGGGAAGAATATTACACTATTACCATGATGGTAGCGAACGGACTCCGACTAGTAGCAAGCGGACTGGTAGCGAAAGAACATGAGAAAAAATCCACCTCAGACATTCACAAGATATTCTTTTGACAAGATCCATAATTAGTAGCACGCAGGCGCAGATCCAGGGGAAGGGTGCAGGGAGTGTGCACCCCTCCCTGGTTCAACTTGGAGGCCCTACTTCGAAGATAACCAAATCAAAATAATGTTTTCCCCTTAGATTCTAATGGGTGCAGCCCACTGGACAAAGTCGTTGATCTGGCCCTTGCACACCAGAATGGAGGCGCAGTTGGGTGCTCCCCTTTGAAAACAATGAAGATGTAACACACAAAAAACATAAAATCTGAAACATTTTTTTGTATTTACCTTTAATCATTTATTGGAAAGCTGTAATTAATTCCCTCCTACTTCAACCAGGATGGTTGTAAAAAAGATTAGTAGCATATTTCTACTACATGGACCTATTGCATTATTATGCTATGTGCAAATATTAATTTTTATTTATTCATCAATTATATATGTAAACAGGGAGCCCATGCTTCCAATGAGCTTTTTAATGGGGCCCTGCAAAGGGAAAGTAAGGGAAACAATTAGACCGTATTCTAGAATCCCTGATTTAAGCTTTGGCATAAGCTAGATCAAATAGAAGAGGTAAATAGGAAGCCAAGTTAGAGTTAATTTTGTATGTTTTCAAAGCTTTCTTAACTATCTCTAATCAATCAAAATACACCATTACTATCTACAGGTACAAGTTTATGATGCAGTTCATTATTTGAGTCTAAAAATAAAAATAAAGAACTGCTAGCTTTCCAGACATTATTCTCTATCAGGCAGTGCCAGCGTAAGAGGTAGCCTTGCCAGTCTTTTGGATCTTTGCCAGTATTTCATCTGATGGGAGATTTGATGTCACATAAACTCTCTGCTTTTCCATGTCAATCTCAACTTTAGATACCTCTGATATACAATAAACAAGAAAAACAATTACTTTAGTTAAATCACAGGCTAACCACTCTAATAAATGAAGGAAATACTCTAAAAATGGTGTCTTGTCTTGGTCTTTTTTATGTGCACGTGTTATCGATTTTTTTGTCATCTCCCCTACCCACCTTGGTAACAATTTTGTTTTTCTACTATACAATATACTAACAAGGTAGGCAACTTCACGGGCTTCCTGTGGAAAATTCAAACTTTGACGAGAGAAAGCCGCAAATTTATCCAGATATTTTGACTCCGAAAACAAAAAAAGTATACAGAACGTCGTACTTACATCTAATCTTCAATAATTTAAAGGATTTTTGATAATAAATTCTCTATAAGGAGGGGTTTTTGGGCTTTTTTAGCGAAAACTTATGTGCCGTCAGTTATGCTTGCATCCAAGCGGGCCTGAACACAAGAAAAGGGATTCAAAACAAGTCCTCTCCCTCCCTCTTCAAGTGTTTTTGGTTCGTTTTTGGTTGGTTGGGAAGTTGTTCTATGTTTTCTTTCTACTTTATTTGTAGTCTCCAACTACTTGAATAGTCGAGCCTTCATAAGCATTCACTCCAAGATGGGYATTTATTAATTCTAGTTTGACAACTATTCCAATTATATTATATTTTGATTACACAGAAGATTTTACGATTCGCTACAACAAACAATTTACAAATAATGAGCTTCATAAAAAGGGACAAATTCAATAAAAAAAGGAAAAAGAAAACTACTTACAAGTTAATGATGCACGCTCAACTGATTCTTGATGTTAATTATTATTTATTGYGCCTGCAGGGCCTATGGTCTGAGGAATTCTTAATCTTATATTATTCGTTGTTATAATAGCCCATTTTACAGTTCCGCTCAGTGACCACAAAATAATAGTTCCAAGCTGAGGTTGAAGTTGCCACGCATGCTAAAAAGTATAGTTTTGCTAAGCTGGGAAACTCCAGCCTGGATTTAGAACTATTGTTTGTGGTCACTGAACAGAACTGTAAAATAACTCTGACGAAGGGCTAACGTCTGAAATGTCAGTCTACTATCTTTCGTACCTACGTTGATAAAATTATCTACTATGACACATTTGAGAACTGTAAAATGGAGCATTATGACATTGAACATGCACAGAGAAGAAAAAATGCTCTGTTTGTCCATAGCTTAAGGTAATATATCCAAAAAAAGCATTTTAAAATAGTGTATTTATCCTATATGATTAATATTAATAATTCATATTAATCATATAAGATTAATACACTATTTCGCAGTTATTGCTTATTGAAAAGGATTTACCCTTTTTTTACTTTCTTATTATCATCTAGTCACTTAACTTTATCCATGCAGAAATATTTTTCCGCTTAGTTTGTGGTCATTGAATAAAAGTCTTCATTTTCAAAATTAGCCTCCTCTGCAGACATCTCTCTGAATCTCTCTGTATGGGAGTCTGGGAGAGAAGAAACAAAATGGCCAAAGGAAGCCCAAGGAGTTGCCTACAGAGGAGGCTATTTCAAAATTTTATACATGAAAATAATAAGGAAATCAGTATTTTCAGACATTTTGGTTTATTGTGCATGGTCAGTATCACATRGGGTGCGTACATTTCAACATTTCAAACGATTCTGCTCCATTAACTATTATCGGTGTTAACTATAGATGAGTTTGCTGTGTCATAATATATACTTATAACAAAGAAACAGAAAACATGCAAACATGCTGTGTGCAGTCATAAAGCACACTGGGTTAGAAGAAGCACAAAGTGTAGTAGAGTTCTTCTCAACATGTCTCAAGTGTTCTGCCAATTCCCAAGTGCTTTCTAACTTTACATAGCAGAGCAAGCAAGTTCTGTTTCTTCCTTATATGAAATACAAATTAGAGTGTTATTTATTTTGGATATGAATGACAAATAGAAAGTGTGCCCTCAAAAGCTGTACTAATACACACACTTGCGACCACTGAATTAGAATGCCAGATTCATAACATAATTCACAACATTTTATTATACTTTATAGCAAATGATAGATACAAATATTGACCCTTCAATTAAAATGCACCCAAGCAGTAACTAATCAACAAGTGACTTGAAACTAAAATCAGTATTCTTACCAGGCCGCGCCATTGCAGTATTCGCGCATAAAAATCAGAAATGGCGCACAAATGTCAGCTCTATGCACCCCCGATGGCGCATGAATTATCCAAAGAATACTTCCTGATAGTTTTAAAAGATTTATAGTACTTTTGAAATAATAAGTATTTCACTCACCAAGACGTCTGGGACGTCTGGGTCCGTACAAATGACAGAGAGCCAAATATTTTCCCGTACAGCCCRATCTAACTCAGTCAATAAGCATTTTATCATATGACCCTCACAAAAGAATCAATAAAAAATAAAAGAAAGWAAGAAATAATAAATAAAAGCTGAAAAGAGAGAGCGCACGGATTCAAGCAGGGCCGTACGGATGTGTACGGCCCTGCTCCCTCAAAGCTGTCCGGCCCCCATCACGTGACTTTTTCCAATGGTTTTATTAGAGCGCRCGAGCAGGGCCGTACAGGTCATATCATAAGGTCTCATCCTATCTTAAATAATTTATCATAAATCACCCAAACAATTTCAATTTCTGAAATACCTTTTTCTTTGCCAAGAACCCTTTCAACAGCTCCAGAGCAACCACTACAGGTCATTTCAACTTGAAATTCATGTCTCTGATAAAATGATGAAGGAAAATAAAGCTGGTCAATACTTCAGAAAAAGATATACATTAAGATAAATGCACATATAGATCCATATAGATAACATAGAATTAATTTAAAATGGATAAAACAAATAGACTAACAAATGAAGAAAACAATCAAACTTCATTGAGTTATCCTTGAAAAAGCAAGGATTTGYAGCAAGGATTCTTTTCAGGTTCTTGACAGCGCACCCACGGACTTTCAACTTAAGATCAAAGAGGTGATTTATATCCGATGAGAAACCCTTCCCTCAATAGTCAATTTAAGCACTTAAACCTTTGTCTTTCTATTTGATTTCTCTCAATTGTTTTCTTTACACATCATATACATTGTAATCACTATATACATATTCATATATTTTTTGCTATATAACTAGTTAGCATTGTGATCTATATTATTTACTACTGATGATGGCAGCTGGACTGCCGAAACATGTCTAGCATTAAAGGTCTCATAATAGATCTAAAAATTAGCACACTAAAATTGTCATTTCATAGAAATTAAATAAATCAATACCAAGACCATCAATCCTTTCAAGGAGGCTATGATCAGGCTCTGGGCAGTTGCTTTACCCATGCAACAACACATTAGTCAGACAAAAKTTTTTAATTAAACAACAATTTTACAAAAAATATTTATAAGATATTAGACTATGCTACGGTCTGCAATTCTTGGGATGCAACCACATGACAAGAAATCCCTTGAGTTATAAATGACAATAAAACAATGCCATGTTTGCTGATCTAACAAGAGAAGCTAATGTCCGTTAATGCTTTGTTATTGTCAAACAGGCGGCAATGATGTAACATGCACMCCAAAAATAAACAGATAAAAAGATAYATTTTACTATCAAAAGGTAACAGGCTACAAAAACCCAAATAGATAAGAAATGCCTCTAACACTTCGCCACCCTACAGCTACCACCTCACCCACCCCCACCCCCCCNCCCCCCCTGTACCCTCATGGAGTATGCTGTACTTGATAAAAATAACAAAAAATAAATATCCTCTAAGCTTCTGCATAAAACAATCAACATACACTCTTTGTGCTTGGTGTTTGCACAAGACAATTTACTAAGAAAGRTAAATAAATATAAATAAATGGGATTTAGCAGTGGCATTTCTACAGAGTAACTATTCATCCACTGTAATTCCAATATATTGGAATTTAGAAAGTTGATTTTTGTGGAGAGAGGAAAGCCGGAGAACCCGGAAAACCCTCGAAGCACAGGAGAGAACCAACAAACAACCTACTCACAATACGACACCGAGCTTAGCTGACTCGAACCCGGGTCGCATTGGTGAGAAGGCGAGCGCCCTCACCGCTACGCCACCCGTGCTTTTTCCGAAAGAGGACTTTGAAGCGAGTAAAAACTATACCTCCTCAAAACTGTGGGCTTGGGGATATGAAGCTGCATCCGAATGATGATTGATAATATAAATGAACACTGAACTTTTCATTCACTCAACTCATTTTAATTCAAAATTGATTTGATTCGTATATCAAAGACCAAGAAGTTTTGCCGTTCAAGTCTATGGTAAGCCCCCAAAATCGAGTCTGAACTATTTTATAAAATCAAGCAGAAAGGGAGGAAGTAAGCTTACGCACAGAAATATTACTGACTAAAGTAAATGGAAAAAATATAGCATATTCCATTACCTATCGTTCAGAACATCTGAAAAACAATCAAACAAATTTTACGTACCGTAGCCATGTTTCGTGGAATCAAGCTCAAACTTTTAGAAATCAAATATCGCTATTCAAATGCACACGTACGTCTAAGTGTTTGTTGTAAGTCGAAATTCCTTCTTGCTCTTTCTTGGTCAGCGGTTGAATTCATGCCCAGACACATTAATTCGGCTTGYGAGACTAAATCCCACCAAAGGCCACGTTTCTCAAGGTCAGTACCGAGAAACGAGAAACGAGTTTCTCGGTACTGACCAATAGGAACGTAGGCTCTGGGTACGGGAATGATTGCGAGACCCGCTGATTTAGCACTAAGAATCGTGAGTTTTAAAAAATTACAATATTCACATGTATCGTTTCAACAATTCATCTTCATCTCCCAGCAAATTACCAGCTACCAAGGTAGCCTTAGCCCCCCCCTCCCCACCTACATTTCCCTGTTGGTCTTTATGCACAGTATTTGCAACTTCGCATACTCATTTTCTTGTAAAGTTATTTCATTTATATGCCATGAAATATATTGAACAGGTTATTTGACTTCATATTACAATAACCAAAAAGTTTCRACATCATCAATGAATTGTCGTACAAATGTACAGGTTATCAAGATAWAGTTTAACTACAGTTTAACATACTTTTTGGTGAATGTAACATTAGATTTTCTATATAAGACTTTATAGAGTACAAACACTATAAGTGTGTAACATAAATACCACTAAATACTGCTAAATTATGCTAATCCTATTGTTTAATTAGCACTATTTACTACTAAACACTTTTAGTGTTTGTACTCTACTAAGGCCTAGGGCAAACATCGAACTTTCCATGCACCGAACTTAATTACATCAAAGAAAGCCGCCTCATTATCACCTGATATCYATTGTTTTTAATGAGTTTCGGTGCATGGAAAGTTCGACATTTGCCCTAGGCCTAAGACTTCAATATCATGCCAGAATATAAAAATAGATACTTTTTCTCTTATTAAATCACCCAAAAAGTCTTAAAAGATAATCGATTCAATGTTTCACTCTTTAAAATCAGGCAGCACTTCAATAGCATTAATACTTAATGATACTTACTCCGTGAAATAAAGGCAAAATAGTTATTAACTAATAGTCGCAATTTAGTGCCTATTTAGTCGATATCACTTCAGTGAATCAATCTACATATGAATACCCAGGAGACATCAAATACACAAGAAACATGTTAGTCATTGATAGTCATAGCATTGATGAACAAATGACTAACATGTTTCTTGTGTATTTGATGTCTCCTGTGTATTCATATGTAGATTGATTCACTTGAGTGATATCGACTAAATATGCACTAAATTGCGACTATTAGTTAATAACTATTTTGTTTTCATTTCACGGATTAAATACCATTGCTCTATACAAGTTGAAATTACCAGTATCAATAGTCAATGGCAATACATTCAGGCTAGATTAGTTTTCATTAACCAGTGAAACAAAGTGTACTAATTAAAGTGTAATATTCAGGTAAACATGATAGAAAACACGAGATTAGGCCTATTGCAACATTCATGTGCCGATATATGATTTTGCTAATGAATCAATTCTGCTCAAGGTTCCTTGGGGAAGGCTCTGCTGGATGGCAAACAAACTTTAAAATGCTTCGTATCTTGAAATCAAATGGATCTTATAATGGAAAAAAAGGATTTTTTTGAAACAGTTTTGGATACAACATTAATGAGCCATCAAAAAAATCTTCAAATAAGCCCAATTTTTTTTGCCATACAGTACCAATCACATGTCAATCTATTACAAAAGGCCTATTAGAGCTAAGTAGTGCTAAATATTGAAGTGTATTTCATGGGTTTATAAAACTACTCTAGTAGTTTGTTTTTTTTACATCTTGAGTGCCATTACTAGAGTGCATGCCATATATCCATGGAACAAAACCAAAGTAGTAATGTCTAGTTGCAGCTGTGTTGTATGTACGTAATAAAAGATATTACTGGAGAAGACACTGGTTAAAGTAAATACCCCTTGCATCTTTGTTTGGTTTATGCCCGAGTGAATTAAATCAACAACTAAATAAGTGCTAAATCAGTAATTGTTTCGCAGATATATGGCATGCACTCTATATCCACCCATTACATACAAAGTATATGCACTTACATTATGTAGTCAAATGTATTTTCATAGCACATTCAGTTCTAGACTTAAAATACCAGTTAAGGTAGGAAAAAACCTGCATCATAAAACAATACTAAACATCATTACATTGTTTTAGGATGATTTCACTTTGCTCTTGAAATAGTGAACTAATACACAGCAAGATAACCAAATTTCATTGGAGTGAAGTAAAACAACCATGCTTAACCTACTGTAAAAATGATGGAAAAACATCATCATGTCAGACAAAAACATACCATAATATGTTATTGTACTATAAAATAAATTACCTTCACAAAAATGTTCTCAAGATTATAACATATTGAGTTATGACATTTTGGTTTTTCCGAAACATCAACTCTGACATCTCTTTATTCTTATTTTACAGTATTTTCAGCCATATGCTGAAGGCTCTTTCTTTCTGATAAGCATAAAAAACAAGGTTTTGGGATAATCACTATGAATGCTAAAAATAAAAGCAATAAGCAAAAACACACTACTTCTCTTTACTGTTTTAGATCTATGACCCTTAACTGAAATTACAGGAGGAATATAAGAATCATGAGATGTGGCATTCAGAGGCCCAAAAACAAATTTCCATGCTATTTTTACGAACATGAAAATGCTGCTTTATGTAATTCCTTTTGTCAGAAACAAAATACTAGCATTAATTTATATCAGAACAAGATAAATTGATAAAGCAAGTTCAGCGTTTTCTTTTACTTCGACTATCGTGGTCCCGTGATCTTGGCTCATCAAGTGTCCTTTTGCCTTTTTTGGCTTCTGTAAGAAACTTATCAAGACCAAAAGGATCTTCTTCTTCTTTTTCAAACTGTACTGGACCATCTCGTTTCTGGCTGTGATCTGTGCCTGCAAACTCTTTATCAGCTTGAAATCTGTCAGTCCTCACCAGCCTCTCCAAATCATCTCCATAAACATCTTTATCAACAATATTCTTAGATGGTCTGTATATAGAAGAGGCAGTACTGGTACCCTGCCGCCAAGCCTTGTCATATACATTGTAAGAATCATCCTCTCCAAATCCTGAATCCATACCTTTGGACTGATTGAAAAGTCTTTGATCAAACATGCTGTCATCTGATGTTGTACCACGAGCAACTCCCAGAGCAATTTGCTCACTAATATCCCTATCTTTGTCCCTTTGCAGTTTAGACCTCTTATCAGGGGCAGCTTTGGAAATGCGCCTATCTCTTTCTCTGTCTTTATGTCTTTCATGCCTCATCTGGTCTCGCTCACGCTCTTCTTCAGACCGATCTGATACAGCCCTGATTCCAGCTCTTTCCTCCCTCGTTTTCATGGCCAATTCTCTTAATTTCTTTTCCTGCTTTTCCTTCTCTTTTTGTGCTAACTTCTTTTCAAGTTGGGCTCTCATCTCTACAGCCTCTCTTGCTTTTCTATCAGCAATATATAATGCTTCAGCAAGCTTTGCAAACTTATCATTGATATGTGGATCTTGAAGTCCACGGCCATCTGCTGCTAAACGTTTGTCCAGCGGTATAGTATAACCTTTGGCATTCTTCCAGTTTGAAATACAAGGCGGTACTTTCCAATCTTGCTGTTCTTTAACAGTTACTTTTCTGCTTGGCGAATGCATTACTGGTGCTGGAGGAGATGGTGGTCCACGAGGAATTTTCTTATTGGTCTTGAACCTTGGTGGCTCCATGGGGTCTTTTTGCATTTCAACCATTCTAATGACCCGTTGCTTTGCACCAGAATTGAAAGCAGTACCTTGTTGTGCTGGTGTGTACCTTATGTACTGGGCTGACTGTGGTTTTTGGGCTGCTTGAGTCGGTTGAGCAGCGGCTATTTTCGTGTTTACAACTTTTTCTAGAGCTTCCCTTGTCTTTTCTGTTACACTTTTCACCTYTTCTTCGTCGGGCCTCATAAATTCGTTATCTGCGTCGTCCTTCAGGTGTGCTGGTACCAAATCGGTGAACTTTGAGTGAATTACTTTATCTTTTTTCTGTCCTTGTTTTAAAATAGCGTCGTATTTCACTCGTCCTTTAGCGTCTAACTGGRCGGGCAAAGCATTGGATGTTTTTGTTTTCTTATTCCTGCCCATATCCAAAGGATACTGAGCCACATGGATTTCTGGAAAAGCTCCTCCATCTCCAAAATCATCGAGTTTTCTTGGGATCCAACCGTGGCGTCGACCATAAGCTGGTGGTTCTTTGGTAACAACTAACATTTGGTAAGAGGTCTCAAGCTCTTCATCTTGGTCTTCATCATCCTTATAGGCAATGTTTACGGGTGTCGGAAGAATACTAGTAAGGGAGGTCATGATTGATTTAGTTCTCTACCGTTTAAGTCGATCTAAAGATTCGCTCTTTATACTTTTCTGTCCTCTTCTCAAACAACATGGCGAACTGATTTTACCCATGTGACGATGGATGACGTTCTATCCACGTGCTCAAATTTAGCCAATCAGGCTGATCTACACAGGGCTCCCAAGTTTAGTTACAAGAACGTTTCCTACAGACAGACAGACGAGTCGACAGACGAGTTTTTTGAAGATGGATCTTACGACTGTGGAAGTTGTGATTATTGGAGGAGGGCTGAGTGGTCTTTGTGCCGCAAAGCTCTTATCCGAAAATGGAGTTAATGTTGTTGTCCTTGAAGCGAGAGATCGTGTCGGTGGAAGGACACAAACCTTGCAGGATTCAAGGTTTAAATACACGGATTTAGGAGGTGCATATGTTGGTCCAACTCAAGACCGTGTCTTGCGTGTGGCCAAAGAGCTTGGTATAGAAACTTATAGAGTACACTTCGAAGGCAGAGTATCTGAATACTTAAATGGAAAAAGAAGGGAATACGATGGCGAAGTCTCCACCTGGAATCCCATTGCAATTTTGGATTATTTCAATCTTATTAGAAAGCTTGATAGCATGTGTGATGCAATCGACTTAAATAATCCATGGGATTCGCCCAAGGCTGAAGAATGGGACCGGATTACCACGGAGGAGTTCTTCAAAAAGACATGTTGGACGACCTACTGCAAAAAACGCATGGTCCAGATTTATCACGATGCAATGGCAGCCGAGCCTTGGGACATGTCACTTCTTTACTATCTGTGGTACCTTAAATCATGTGATGGCGTTCTAAGGATTGCTGGTATTGAAAACGCTGGCCAAGAAAGAAAGTTTGTTGGTGGATCACAGCAAATAAGTATTAAGCTGAAAAACCTTCTAGGAAATAAGGTTCGTTTAGTGTGGCTATAATAGCTATTTGATCATAACATTCTTGGTTTGCAATCAATCTCAAGAGAGCACAATAGCAAAAGGGATGTCCGCCATGTTGGAAGATATAACAAAAGAATTCATTTTAAAATCTTTTGTCAAATTCTTCCAACATGGCGGCTATTTATATATGACGTCTATTGCAAACGAAGAATAATTATTATAGGTCATTATGTTGGATGCAAGAAAAATGAAAGAGAAATGACTTTTYTCTCTCTCGTTGACACCAGGGCCAGATTTAGGTGTGGGTCCTTGGGGTCACGGACCCTCTTTTAAGCGATGTATTTTCTTTAAACATAATTGTATTTGCATATGGTCTTGAAGGTTTTCTCTCAGGATGAAGTTTTCCAGCCCACCCATTCTTTGGCTCCTGGATCCGCCCCTGGAAATGTTGTGCTTTCCTAGTCTGTTGCCCTAGCCCCCCTTCATCCAAAATAGTTTTGAGGCCACATCCACATTAAAGGGCCACTTGGATGAAAACACACCAATTTTTACACCAATTTTCTCAGAATACCTTTGTTTTTTTTTTGTCTTCCCCTTCTCGCGAAAATTGTGCATTCTTGGATACCCTGTTCCAGGGAGGAGAGAGGGTGATTTCATATATTTCAGAGTGAGTGCAATTTTATATACCCTGCTCCAGAGTAGAATCGCTGAAAACCATACCCTGTTTGGTGGCACGTACCAGTATAGCGAATATAGTGGATTACCCCGGGGCAAATACTGAAATGTGTGAATAAAGTGTAAAAGACATTTAAGCAAATATCTTATATTTGCTAAATTTAAACATTTTGATTTTATCTTGTTGAATTTAAGGTAATCCTAAACAGCCCTGTCAAGGAACTTGAACAAAATACAGAACATGTATTTGTTACATGTGCAAATGGCAAGAAATACAAGGCCAAGTATGTAATAAGTGCAATGCCACAAGCTCTTCTAAACCAAATATCATTTGATCCACCACTTCCACCTCTGAAGAACCAGCTTATCCAGAGAATCCCAATGGGCTCAGTGATCAAAACCATTACATTTTATGACAAGGCATTCTGGCGAGAGAAAGACCTGAGTGGAGTTGTAATTGCAGACTCTGATTCTGGTCCAGTACAAGCTGCTCTTGATGACACCAAGCCAGATGGATCACACCCAGCTATTATGGGGTAATTACTACTTCTACTAGTACTGCTAATAATAATAACATTTATTTCAAGAGGATACATTTAACACCTTGCCCAGATGATACTTATGGCCCTCAAATAAATAATTAATTTAAAGTAAAATATGTTACGTATACTATGAGAACAATATAATTCATGTAACTACTACTAATTACCCAATCCCACATATTACCCAAATTCATGCTTTGAATGGTCCTTTGAATACTCGAGGAATATATAGTGCTTATTATTCATTCAATATATACAGCCATTTGCAAAAATTATGGCCAATTCAAATATAAATACAAGTATATCAAAAGTATATCAGACACAATGGGATATCTTTCTTGATATTTTTTTCAGAAAGCCCTAGTGATGGACAATCGAAAAAAATATCAGCTATGATATCCCATAATTTCTGATATACTTTTGATGTACTTGTATATATGTACAAAAGGATCAGAATTTGTGCATATCACTGTATGTATATATATTTATATATATATATATATACAGCGATATGCAGAAATTCTGATTCCACCAAGTATATAGTATAATATAACAATATTGGGTGCATTATGGGTAATAGACCTGCGGGATTCAAAGCTAAGTAACAAAGTGTTGGCTAGCCTACCAAGTGTTGTCATAAACAGGGCTTAAGTCAAGAGGCGGGAACTATGTGTTCACTTTTTAATACCTCTACACTATTAGGAAAAAATGTCATATTGTGATCGGTTTTATTGATGTAAAGTGAAACACTGGAAGTTTTGCAATTTGTTGAATTTAAAATCAGTTCTGAAATCGCTCTTCTTGAAAGTTTCGGTTGAGCTGAGCTCAATTCTGAACTCGTTCTTCGCTTATTTATATGTGCACTGCTAAAACAATCATTCACTCCGAGGACAGCAAAACCAAAACAGTCGGTAATATGACTTATGACAAAAGTGGCACAAAAAATGTTCATGAGCTACTCTGGATAGGATATTTTGCTTTATTTGTAGTCTACCGTGTTATTGTTATTGAACGTCAACTTAGTCAAATCTCAGTTGATGAGCAGGCTGAATATAATTTCTAGATAAACGGAGGTTATTCTTACTTAAGAGAGGCATATTCTTCCACTTCTCCTCTTAGAATAGAATAACTTAGTGATTCTTTGTGGTTACTTTTTCTATTTTCTCTCTCTCTCTCTCTTTCTCTTTTGGCTCAAGCTATTAAAAGCTTTGCAGTTTTATGCAAAACAAGTTCACTCATGAGAGTGAAAGTTTGAATATTAATCATCATTGCACTAAAGCCGTTTTTATTAATCAAAATTACTTAAAATATACAGTGGTTTATATTGATAAGTCCTAGGCAGGGTGAAAGTTCTTTTTCTGGTTGGAACAAGCGGAGTTTGTTTTGAAACGTAACTTATCTTTAAACAAAACGCCAGCCAATGCTTTGGTACTTTTAATCCCGCTTTAAATCCTGCTAGTCCATTACCCATAATGCACCCGATATAGTTATATACTATATACTTGGTTGGATCAGAGTTTCTGCATATCGCTGTATATATACATATATATGCATATTTATACAGTTGCGGTTTGCATAAACTTTGACCTTTTTTATATACAGTCAATGTCATTAACATTGTCCACAAAAAAAAAATTACACATTTAGACTAAAAGATATATTACGTGTTTCATCATGTATTCTTTGCCTCTTGTGTGTCAGCCTGAACTTGAACTGAAATGTAAAATTCAACTTGTGAATCGAAAATCCAGAATGCCCTGACCATTTAGAGAGGATTTAAGATGGAGAAGGGTATTTCAGCATTTGTTTTATGCCAGAACCTTCGAGGAAACAC